TCGGTTATGAGCAAGAAGTCTATTCTAGGTGTCTTCCAAGGTGAATCCCTAGCTACCTGACATCCCCCATCAAGATTTAAGATCTTTTAGGAGATGGTTGGGATTAGGATTTATAAGGGTTTAGAATCTCCACTCCTGGTAGTGTTAGATTGCAGGAGGGCCATGTGAGTATCTGCCGTAAAGGACAGGAGATGAAATTAAGACAGCAGTTGAGTACACAGGAGCTGGAGATTAAAAGACCACTGCTGGGATTACAATAGATAAAACCCGGTTCCACTGTGAAAACTCCAACAACAATCCCAAAGTCCTTCACCAGAAGCAATGGCTTGGACTGGAGGTTTGGTCACACTTTCATGCACAGCTTCTAGGCATCTGTGTATAAAAAGAAAGATAGCAAGAATCCAGACCAGGGACAGATACCCTAAATACTCTGGCATGTGTGGCCTGAAACAAGGACAAAACTTGTCCAACAGACATATCCAGCTCAGGCTAAGGACAAAAGATGATGCCTTGTCCCTGAAACTGCCTCAGAATTTCCTACGGGCTGTCCCGTCAGCTATGACAACAGTGAACACCAAACATTTCACTAAGTGCCTGTGAGCCCTAGGGGATCAAGGCTGTTTCCCCTCACTCCACCTTATCTAGCCTCTGACAGATTCCCCAGGGAACACCAGTCATGAATCTTCTCATCTAATTTATTCTGACATCATCTACCTGGACACCGAATCAGAGCTCACGGTTTAATGGCTCAGCTCCATATCTGAAGTCTGTCTCGAACCTCAAGTCCCTGAGCTGGGCCTCCAGAACTATGACCAAACAGGCTGTGTGTTAGGGGCTCCCATGATATCTATTTGTATTCTATAATTGGCTAGAGCAGTTCACTCAAGGAACCCAGAGAATAAGTTCACCCATCTTCCCTTGATCATTAATGATATTACAGAAGATGCTAATGAATGGCCAGGTGGGAAAAGACCCAGGACAAGATGTGCAGGAAGGGGCAGAAACTCCCCTGCCAACCTTCCAGTCATGCTTTGGGCTTGCATGTGACCATCCTTGGTCCTGAAGCTCATTAGCATACAAAAGATATTCTTATCCTGAAGATTACAAGAATCTCAAAATCTGTATGCCAGGAAATGGGACAAAGGACAACTGGTATTCCAGGTTATCACAGACACTTTGGATTTCTCTCAAACTCAAACTCACTGGGGGAGGGGTGGCAGAGCTGATACCATCCTTTCCTCCAAGACCCACACCCTCCTACCTGTGCCTTCTGTCCTGTCATCCTGAGTACCTTCAGGTCATTGATGGGGTGGGGCAGGGAGGTAGAGCTGAGCCTGCAGTCTTTTTTTTTTTTTTTAATGCACTAGATGTGATTTTTTTTTATTTGAATTACAAACAAGATTGAATTACATGACAATCCCAATTCCCTTCTCTCTCCCCTCCTCCCCTACCAACCCTCCCAACTAAAACCCTACCTATAGTATATCCTCTCTTCTAATCTACACCTGACTCAACCTTTCTGCTCCCTCATGACCTCTGCATCCTTCCTCTTCTTCCCTTCTCATTCTCATAGCTCCCTCCCCCCTCTTCCCATGCTCTCAATTTGCTCAGGGGATTGTGACCTTTTCCCTTTCTCCAGGGGACAAAGTTTGTCTCTTTTAGGGTCCTCCTTGTTCACTAGTTTCTCTGGCAGTGTGGATTGTAGGCTGGTAATCCCTTACTGTAATGTCTAAAATCCACATATGAGTGAGTACATATCATGTTTGTCTTTTAGTGATTGGGTTATCTTGCTCAGAATGGTTTCTTCGAGTTCCATCCATTTGCCTGCAAATTTCAAGATTCCATTTTTTTTTTCTTCTGAGTAGTACTTCATTGTGTAAATGTACCACATTTTCTGTTATCCATTCTTTGGTTGAGGGGCATCTAGGTTGCTTCCAGTTTCTGGCTATTACAAATAATGCTACTATGAACATTGTTGATCAGATGTCTTTGTTGTATGAATATACTTCTTTTGGGTATATGCCTAGGAGTGGAATTGCTGGATCTTGTGGTAGACTGATTCCCATTTT